GTCTCTGTCTCCCTATCGTTCCGATCACTTTCCGACACATTCCCGATTCACTTTCATAATCCACTCCTTCCGATCACCCGAGGCGCGTTCCGAATCTCTCCGTGTGTGGTCCTCTGCGTCCATCTCTGCCACGTCACATCGGTCGCATTTATTGCTCTTCGATGGGTCGAGCTCAAAGCGTACATCAATTAGGTCCAGGTGAGGGAGCTCTTCAAGCTGTCACCTCAGATTACAGAGACAAATCAGATACTCGAGACACTAGGTGTAGGGTTCGCACACTGGCCGATTTCTACAAGGTGGATTCCTTTCTGTGAACTGCTTTCTTTGTTCTTACCGCTGTGGAGGCAGTTGTTTCTAAAGAGGACATAAAAATCTACCAGTTCATTGACAGGAAAAGTTGTGGAAGAGTTCAGACCTATCCCATACGTTGTGTTGCGTTTTCCTCGTAGGTTTGGCATCGCCAGAAACGATTCGATGTTGAACCAAATCCGTTCGACCAATGATTTTGTCCTTCACAATCATATCGTCCTCTAGATAGATGGATTCAATTCTTGTTGAAGGAAGAATTATGCAAGGCCACCCGATTTATAGAAGAGGAGGAACACCTGTTTGTGAAGGGCCAAATCATTGGTCGAACGGATTCAGTTCAACATTAATACTGGCGACGCCAAACACAAGGGAAAAAAGTAACATCTGGTGTCAGAAGTGGGATGAACGAAGGAGGGAGGAAGGACGAATACGCCGAAATGAGGATCATGAATTACTACCAAGGATTCAGGAAAGAAAGAAGACAGACAGACACTTGCTGGTGAATATTCAGGAAAAACAACTGTACCTTCATTGATTTGAAGAAAAATTAAATGACTCGAAAGAAGAACTTTGCAAGGCCACCTGATTCGTAGAGGAGGCGAACGATATGTTTGTGAAGGGCAAAATCATTGGTCGAACGGATTCAGTTCAACATCGATACTGGCAATGCCAAACACACGGGAAAAACGTAACTTCTGGTGTCAGAAGTGGGATAATTGCCTGAAAATTTTCTGTTTCGTGGTGAAAACTCGGAGGGTCAATTACGACGGGATGGAAAAGCTTGAGGAAATATTCGTGGCTCAGCATGCGGGCTTGACGGAGGATGAAAATCTCAGGGAAGAAGATGAAGACAGAAGAGAGGAAGATGAGCACAGGGGGAAGGAAGAACGATTACGTCGACATAGGGAAGATGGACAAAGGAGAGAGGAAGAACGAATACGTCGAAATGATGATCATGAATTACTACTAAGTATTCAGGAAAAAAAAGGAGTGACAGAGACTTGCTGGTGAATATTTAGGAAGAACGGAAAAAAGACAGAAAGGACGATCGTGAATTATTGGAAAATACTCAGAAAAAATAAGAAAGAGATAATTAAATGCACCTTCAGTTATTTGAAGAATCAAAATTTTCTCTTGTGAATAAATATAAGGTACAGGCATTCATTCGGGAAGGATTTGGAAAAGTGTTTCAAAAAACAAAGGGGGGTTTGGAAAAAGTAGTCAATGAGAAGCTTGGGGATGGCAGTATTGCATAACATCCTTGGAATTGAACGTAACATTTTCATCAGTACCATAATCCTTGCAGTCCAGCCCAAACAAAGTCAACTGGATTCAAATCCAGGTGGTATGGTGATAATCTTACAACGTTTCTATTTCATACCCTTTGAATATTGTATCATAACTATTCATGAAGACATACATGTTTCAGCATGTTTGTTTCAAACGGGATATAACTCTTTAATATCCATGCTTGCGTATCGGCTTTTTTGGTCGATGTCGCTGGCATTTTGTTGGTTTGTCTATTATGATATGATGCATTATCGATCACCACAACGCTTCTTAACGGCAAATTCGAAATCAACTCTTCCTACACCCATTTCTTATAGTTATCAAAATACATCTCTTTTTAACGATGAGATTGGAACCTTTGGTGTGGAAGTTGAATAATAATCCAGTCATTTAAGCTTAAATTAGTTAAGAATCTCGGAATTCGAGATACCCAGCTGTAAGTCTGTAAATACTTGTATATTGACACCCTAAAAGTTGTCTAAAAACCTACATATGATGGGGTGTAAGCAACTATTAAATTTCAAAGTCAAAGGTCACAAAAATCGGTTTTTTGCGCTTTTTTTGGAAATATCTCATTTCCTATGGGTTTTTTGCTATTTGTATTCATTATCAATATATTTCAACGAATTTTTTATAAAATTTGTGAATCTGTTTACGAAATCATATCATATAAATGAAAACAAAACTAATCATTAAATTTAGTATCAATTGAAAGGGGTGTATTTTTCCCAAAAACTATATAGTTGTAGAACCACATTTAGTAATTCTCCTCAACACACATCGAAATTATTTTCGGAATCGAAATTTCCAAAACGAACTTCCACCATTCAAATACCGGCACGCAGTTCAAACAGTAATTCACACCATTCGTAGTTGCAACAACGCCAATAAAGCGAGCACCAGCAAATATTTACCAATAAAATCCGGGATTGTCAGCACACACAATACATCTGTCGATAATTTCTTCACAAACAGACTCCCATTCGGTTCGTATTGAATTTTTAACATTTCACGGATTTTCGAAAGGAGATTCCGCAGCTTCCAAAGTACCGAAAGTATCGATGTTTCCTCTAATCCACTGTCAAATAAAGTACACTTTGAAAAGCTCCAACTTGATTCTGTGTCAATGTCGAGAAAGGCGATACAAAGCAAAGGCGGGGGAGAAAATTGGGTTGGGGACATTAATGTCAATAAAAAAATCAGCCATATAAAAGATCATTCTTATTAGAAGTCTGTCTTGGGCGAAGGGTTTTTTTGTTTTCCAAATGCAAAAACTAACGTTGAAGATTGTTTTTTTCCAGCTGAGATTCATCCACCCCACTGAATTCTTCCACTCTATACCATCATATGAAAGTTAATGATGAATTTACTGGATTTCTATCCCAACACCAAACAGTTATTTTCACCACCTGGACACGTGTTTTCATCACCAAGTGATCATCTTCAAGAGGGAGTTCAATCTTCCTCTAGAAGATGATCACAAAAGAGCTGTCTGAATATTTTCAACTGATTTCTATGTATTTAGGTGTTCTGAAAACTAAAAAAAAATCTCAAACAATCTAATAAATGTTTCAAAGAAGCCTTGAAACAGTTCTACTCCACAATGCGGTTTCTATGCCACCCTTCCTGTCGGTCATTCCGTACATCTCAAGAGAACCTACAAGAACCTGACATTGATTCACGACCCAAGAACAGGATGACTATGACCAACTTATAAAGCTACGGTATGGGCAGGCCCACCTAGAGCACGTTTACCATTCACAGCTGAAGAACCGCTGCCAGAAATCAGGAGAATCTCTACAGAAGTTTGAAGCCGATATTGCTCGATTGGTTCGTCTGGCATATCCTGCTACAGCGGAAAATGGAATGGAGCGGTTAGCAGTTCAGTCATTCTTGGACGGACTTCCTGACCAAGAAACGAGGAAGGCCTTAACACTAGCTCATCCCAAACATCTCGTGGATGCACTAGCAAGCGCCCTGCAATTTGAGGCTGCAAAACAATCCTGCAAGAGCCAGAGCAAAGTTCAGAAAGTGAATCGAGCGGCTAAACAAGAAATTCAAGTACCAAGTACCGCTCCAAGTAAAGCTGGGATTGATGAAGCAATTTGTGAAGTCACTCCCAAATTCCCTTTCTTGGGAGTGAAATTTACAGGCCTTTTAGAAGCAAAGTTGAAGGAATGCATTTCAGTTGGACCAGATATGAAACGGCTTATGGCTGATCCATAATTCATCACCACCATGATTGATCCTCGAAGAGAAGGGTGGATTGCCTCTAAAACGGTCATAGAGCATTTGTAGGGAACAAAAAAGACCCTAACTACAAACAAATCATCAAAAGACCCAAGAAGGAGTGGAAGTCGGTATTTGTAGGCTGATGCAGGGGCAAACTCCAGCTAGTCACACGATGCAGAATATTTGAAACTGTACATTGAACTGAAGGCAGATCCAATACTAGGAAATCCCGTGGATAACACAGCAACGCAGTACAACTTTCAAAAATATTTCAAAATCATCATACCAAGTAGAGAGGACTGTCAAAGCGACCCACCGGTAAAAGCGGAAGAAACTTGGTACACAGATGGCTCAAAGACCCAAGAAGGAGTGGGAGCCGGTATATACGGAGGCAGAGCAAAGACGTCTCCCTTCGCGTCGGGAGACAACACAACCTCGAGCTAAAATCTAATACTTTTTTCCCTTGTATAATAAATAACTATTTCTTCATTCCCATCAGAAAATTTAGGAGAAGTGAGTCAGGAGTAAGGTGAACGATTCCACAAAGATATTAAGGAGATGGATGGATCGTCTTAATGATGGCAGACCACTGTTGGATGCTTCAGAAAGATCTTCCAGATGCTTCCTGAAGACGAAAATGTACGAAAAGGAGTCTCACCGTGAGAAAGAAATGATTCAGTGCTTACTACTGAATGTATGTCAGATGAAACAATATTTTTTGTTACGCAATTATAAATACATTTATTATACAATTATAAAATAATAAAATCTTTTATTTCAAGATGATAACATGCTTAACATTGACACCTTCATTGTCAGAAAACGTGACGTACTATGACAAAATGAAAGACATTTTTGGATTCGAAACACCCAAAAACTTTAGGATTACACAAAAAACCAAAACAGCTCCCAATATTTTTTGCAGAATTGTGTTTTTATATAATTTTGTGGCATTGCTTATCACTGTCAAAAATATTACAAGTTTGGACACATAAATGAAAGATCTTCCGAAAGCAGAGACTCATAAAAATCATCTCCAGTTCATCCTTGAGGATGACCTCAATCAAATTCGAAACGTTGACAGAAAATCAGTTCGTCATTCGAAATAACTCATAATTTTTGCCTGGTTCCTCCATTACCTACTCCTTCTCCCCCATTCCGAAACTCACCTGCTTCAAATCGATCGTTATGGTGACGAACTCGTATTCCGGGCCATAGTACAGGGCCGGACTCTGCCACCACCTGTTCGTGTCGTCGATGGCGAACTCGATGGGGTGTCTTTTGCCTTCGTCGGGACTAGCTTCGTCACAGACGCCGCATCGTCCTTTGCCACCTTCGGCCATCCTGCAGAACTCTTCTCGGCCATCTTGACCGCAGGTAGCGTTGGCAAAGATGACGGCCTTCGTGGCCAGATTGAAGACGGACGGCCATAGGCCGGCGGAGGCGGCGTTGCGACGGTGGTGGGCGCCGATGCCGCCGCGATGGCTCTTCAGGAATTTCAGCGCTGGAAGAAAAAGAGGGGGTTAGTGGTGTTCGAAATCATCCGTTAAAAAATGCTCTAACTGCATGAAACCAACTAACAAAGATGTGAATATTGATCATGCAGTCTGGGAAAAAAAATAAATGCGTCTCGTACGCAGAAAATTTAAAAATAATTAAGAATAGTCGCTTAAATTCTCAAAAGCAACTACAGGGTAATTGTCATATTTCTCTCGTAGCTTCAAGCTAGGTGTTAGTAAAGATACGAACACCTTTTTTACCAAAAATAGAATAGATCGCAATTTTGAACGCACTTCCTTAACAAGAGGTGGTGGCGGTGTTCTTGTTGGAGTATATGAAGACTTTATTTCTTCAGAAATTAATCTATCGGATTCTAACTTTCCCACGCTCAAACTGATTGATATAGTTGTTGTTAAAATAACCTATTCACGTAAACATATTTTTCTGCTAAACGTTTACATACCTCCTCAGACTCCCCTAGCTGAGTTTGAACAACGCTTTGAAGCTCTGGAATTACTACACATATTACATAATAGTGCAGTTCTCATTGTAGGAGATTTTAATATTAGCGATTATGCTAGCCATCTTAATCATGGTACAACTAATAGGAACATTACTATTCTCAATAACTTTTTACAAATCCTTGACCTATCTCAAAATAACTTTGTATATAATAAACTCAATAGACTTCTCGACCTGGTATTTTTTAATGGAGAGTGTCATGTGGAGAAATCAATGGATCCTTTCGTAGTCGAAGATCAGCATCATCCTGCCTTGGATATTACTTGTGTACATGAAACGAAGGCTAACTACAAAAATTAACCGCATTCCTGTTTCCAGAATAATTATAATTTCAAAAGAGTCACAAAAGAATCACTTTCTTGGTATATCAGGCTTCAGTGAAAAGCCCAAAAAGACCACTGGTCCAGATGACATTTCAGCTTTCATCCTAAAAGAATGTGCACTTGTGCTTGCTCGTCCTCTATCTATACTAATTAATATCTGCTTAAGATCGGCTACAATACCAAAGATCTGGAAATCATCAAAAGTTCGTCCCATTTTCAAGAATACAGTGCTCCTTCCGGTGTTCCACAAGGTTCAAATCTGGGACCGTTGCTTTTCAATATATTCATTAATGATATTGCAGATGTTATAGATGTGTATTTCCTTTTATATGTCGATGAGCTAAAACTATACTGCCTCGTTGAGAACATAGATGATTGTGTGAACCACTCAGCAAACGTAGGACGGGTTGTAGAATGGTGTTATCGAAATAACTTGCCACTGAACCCGGATAAATGTAAGGTCATGTCCTACAGTTCGAAAACGAATATCTTGATCTTTGATAATTCAAAAGAAAACGTTTCCCTGGTGAGACCAGAAACATTTACTAATCTTGGCGTCACATTTGACACTACACTATCATTTAATAGGCATATCGATAATGTTGTAACCTCCTCCTGTCGTTTGTACGGATTAATTGCACGTAACAGTAGTGATTTCAAAGAAACTTCGACCTTAAAAACTTTATTCTATGCTTTCATAAGATCAAAGTTAGAATACGCGTCAGTTGTGTGGAGCCCCTTTTATCAATATCACATCGATAGAATAGAAGCAATTCAACGACGATTTTTAAAACTGCTAAGCCTAAAAACCAATGGCATTTATCCTCCAATAGGAACAACCCACTCTGAATTGCTACGAAAGCATAACTTTTGCAGTCTCGAAAAAATGCGGGAATATTATAGTGTTGCACTAACCTATAAAATTATCAAAAGCATAGTTGACTGCCCAACATTACTGGAAAAGTTCAATATTTGCATTTCTAGAATCTGTTCCAGACACCCGAGTACTTTCTATATAAAAACATCTCGCACAAATGTTCTGGAGAATTCTCCGATCCATGTGTGAAGTGACAAAATCTGTTAGCGATAATTTAGATATATTTAGTTGCAAATTATCAAATATAAAATCCCACTTCCTAAAATAATTGTTTTTGTCACCTATAATAAATATAAAATGTGTAGTCTTTATAGTCACTTGTTTGTATTATTTGTAGTGTTTGTAGACTTTACAATTACTTGTTTGTGATGTATTTATTATACTCTGTTATTTCCTGCTCTGTAATTGGGCTATGTCCTGTAGAGTATTGTATTATAAATAAATAAATAAATAAAAGGTGACATTCTCAAGAGAACAGATCATGGAAATAAAATTATGTATAATTCATTAGTTTTTATTACAATTGTTCTTATGGAATTCAATTTCTGATCTTGTCACGAATGACTCAATCAGAAGTTGCTCTTCCATTCAACCTCGAGAAAAAAAAATAATGTTGTATATGCACAACATACATAAATCTTAGATATATTTAGTGCCAAATGCAACAGAATTATTTCTGTTAGTACTAACAACAATAAAAAGAAAACTAATGAAAATCAAACTATATAAAATGCTCATTTACATCAAAATTATTTTATTGACAGAGGAGTTGAGGCAATTAGCGTTCCAGTAAGTAAATATTGAGTTTATTTCTATAATCTAGCGCGGAGAATGGGAATTCGATTATAAATCCAGGCCACATTATAAGAAAAGGATCCACGTAATAAAGTGGTTCTGTGGCGGGGTGTAGTTAGTTGATTTCTGAATCTCCAATTCAAATTATTGATGTCTGTTCTATATCTTATTTTGTCGTGAATATAACTTGGTACTTCTGCTGCTATAATATTATGGTAGGTGATACGAGCATGAGATATGCGTCGAGCTTCCATTTTTAGCCATCCCAGTCTCTCCAAATGATGAGACACGTTTTGTCCCTTTCTAGTTCCTCTAATGAGCCTGAGGTATGCGTTTTGTAGGGTCTGTATTCTCTTTTGATCAGATAAACGTAATGCTGGGCCATATACTATATCTGCGTAGTTGGCGTGAGAGAGGACTAGGGCATTGCATAATATCTTCTTCGAGTTTTGATTCAATGACTTCCTATTTGAGTATACTGCCACGTTTTATAATTTGGGATATATGAGAGTTGAACTTAAGGAATTGGTCAATTATGAGACCAAGAAAAATTTGTGTACCAGTAAGTAAATATTGAGTTCATTTCTATAATCTAGCGTGGAGAATGGGAATTCGATTATAAAGCCAGGCCACATTATAGTGATTCTGTGGCGGGGTGTAGTTAGTTGATTTCTGAATCTCCAATTCAGATTATGGATGTCTGTTCTATATCTTATTTTGTCGTGAATATAACTGGGTATTTTTGCTGCTTTTAGCCATCCCAGTCTCTCCAAATGATGAGACACGTTTTGTTCGCTCCTAGTTCCTCTAATGAGTCTGAGGTATGCGTTTTGTAGGGTCTGTATTCTCTTTTGATCAGATGAACGTAATGCTGGGCCATATACTATATCTGCGTAGTTGGCGTGAGAGAGGACTAGGCCTTTGCATAATATCTTCTTCGAGTTTTGATTCAATGACTTCCTATTTGAGTATACTGCCACGTTTCATAATTTGGGATATATGAGAGTTGAACTTAAGGAATTGGTCAATTATGAGACCAAGATTTTCCGTAGATTTTGAAGGGATTGGTCGTCAGGCAGGTGAGCGAGGAATTTAAATCTGCACGTGAATCGTTACGTTAGATGAGGATTGGATCCTCTAGGACAGCAGGAGTCGTTAAGGACAGTGGTTAGGCATCAATAAGCCACTAAGGCACTTTCCAAAGGCGAAAACCCACCAAAAACAGATCATGGTTATCGTATGGTGGTTAGCAGCTGGTGTTATTGACTATAGTTTTCTGCAACCGGGCTGAACCATCATATCAGAGCCTTTTTGTGATGAATCTCAAGCACTTCAATAACTTTATCACCGGTAGAATCTTCGCCAATCAGTGCCAGGCAAAAATGGCCTTCGTCGACTTCATCGAATCCCGAACACACAATTTTAATGCTGACTGAATGAGCCAAATGGAGCCCATTTCGATGTAATTGAATAAGTATCCACTGTATCACCCCTCAGACTGAATGATGTCCAGCTGTAACATACATAACTTCTGGTATGTTCTACTCCCAGACAGAATAAACCGAACAAACAAAGGAGCGATGCATAGGGCTCATTAATTTCCAGCTCATACAGACATTATTACCGATGTTAACACGAATATTCGTAGTGCTTGACTTATGGCGGTGGATTGAAACACACTTTGTCGGCACCTCGGAAGATCTTTAATAACTTACCAGAGGCTCCGTTTATATCCGGGGTTGCTCGTCTATGAAACCTCTTAAATTTACGATAATAGAATCATAAATCTACTATATGGGACTGCGAATGGTATAAATTAGCTGCTAGGGGAAAGAATCGAGTTATTTTAATAACCTTCCTAAGTTAATGGTTGCGCTGTTGCCAAAGGGGGATTTTATCATCCTCAGATGGAAAGAAAAGCAACGAAGGCAAAAATGATCATAGAAAAAATAAGCAATAAGACTGGATAACTCGCTTCCCAAATTTTGAGCTTCCATTTGGTGGACATTAAACGATTTCTGTGTATTAAAAAATGAAGAAAATGTTCAGATACAGTAGAAAAAATCGTTACATTTCCCAAAGATGCTGTTGTGTGTGACAAAAATGGGTCTAGAATCAGAATTTTAATTTTGCTGAGGATTTGGATGTAGGAGAATACGCAAAGACGAAACGGAATGATTCAAGTTAAATGATAGTCGTGTCACTAAGTGTTCTGGCGATGTTTTGAATTTATTGGAGCCTCTGGAGACACTCTACATTTTATTCTATGAAACAGAGGACACTAGCAGATCAAGATCTTTAGATGATGTGATGCTGCAGGTTTTTCCGGGTTTTCTTGCAGCTGAAAAAGCAAATGCGCCACTGGAATCAATCAAGTCGCCCCGGAGCGCCAAATAATTTTTGTTGTTATTTCATAATTTGTATTACTTAATCCGTAAAATAAGTATAATTCAAAGCTATATTGAAAAAAAACAGAAAATATTCAATTCTTCATCAGAAAAACATCAAAATATAATTTGGATAGTGGAAGTTATAGTTTCAAAGTCAGCTATATTAATATTAGTGGAGTAGTAATTGAAATTTTCATGCTTTCGAAAGCAACATTCCCAAGGATGATAGAATCGCAGAATACTACGATAGAACTCATTTTCAACGACGTTGAAAACCCCATTCCACGTACCTCTCGAAGAGTTTTTCAATGATATTCAAAATACGTTAACACAAACACAAAATCAACTGATCATCCTGACGAATTTTATGGTCATACACATTCTAAGCTGTTGATTTCAGCTCTGAGAAGTGATTTCAAATGATTCATTGCGCAACTTACTCCGAGGCAATTAAAGCTAATGGGATAATCGCTCAATTAACTCAAAACACTTTTACAGCGCGGTCGAGAAAATAGTAGAAATATAATGAGATTCAACAAGATAATTGGAAAACGAAATAAACAGATATTGGTATGTTAATTCAATGGAATATAGGTAAACAAACAGTCGTCGAACTTTATCGAGAAAAGTCATTATTTCAGTTGAAAAGGCTGAAGTATATGTCAGTGGTGACATTTTTATTACTCCCACTGATGTTCACTTATGTCGAATTTGCTAAATTGTTTTTTATGTTTTCATCTTTTTGCCAGTGAAGCCAAATTCTGCATCAAACAACAATCCTAATTTTTTATCTCGGTCACGGAGAGAAGTATTTCATTCTCGATGCAAAGTTGAGAAGTGGAGTTGGCGAGATTACTATTCTTTTTAGGTCCAACCATCATTATTGCAGATTTATTAGTATTGAGCTTATGTGCTGCCAAAATGACAAAGATGGCTAGAAGATCGTTAATAATATATGACAGATGTAGAATAACGAGGCAGAAAAGAGAAATATAACTGTGTGTCGTCGGCATTCTTCAACAAACAGATGAAAATCACAGATATACAAAGGACCAGAGATAAATTGTGGCACTGCCTTTAGATACCAGTAGAGAACATCCAACTCCATCCACAACAACTCTTCATATACGATTCTCCAGCTAATTTCTCAAGAGTGACACTGCTTCTCGAGAAAAACCAAAGTAGACAAGTTTGTCACACAATATCTCGTTATCAAGATTGTCAAAGGTCCTGCTGTAATCCAGAAGTAATAAACAGGTCAAATTCTCATCATTTATAGTTCTGAACAGATCATCGGTAATTGACAGAGGAGCCGGAGTAGTACTGTGTTGAGGTCTAAATCCTGATTCGACAGACAGAGGAGCCGTAGTGGTACTATGCCGAGGTCTAAATTTTGATTGAACAGACAGAGGAGCCGTAGTGGTATCATGCTGAGGTCTAAATCCTGATTGAACAGACAGAGGAGCCGTAGTTGTACTATGCTCAGGTCTAAATCCTGATTCAATAGACAGAAGAGACGTAGTGGTACTATGCTGAGGTCTAAATTTCGATTGAACAGACAGAGGAGCCATAGTAGTATTATGCTGAGGTCTAAATCCTGATTGAACAGATAGAAGATCCGTATTTCTACTAAGCCCAGGTCTAAATCCTGATTCAACAGACATAGGAACCGTAGTAGTACTATGCTGAGGTCTGAATCCTGATTGAACAGACATAGGAGCCGTAATGGTACTATGCTGAGGTCTAAATTTCGATTGAACAGACAGAGGAGCCGTAGTAGTATTATGCTGAGGTCTAAATCCTGATTGAACAGATAGAAGATCCGTATTTCCACTAAGCCCAGGTCTGAATCCTGATTCAACAGACATAGGAACCGTAGTAGTACTATGCTGAGGTCTGAATCCTGATTGAACAGACATAGGAGCCGTAGTGGTACTATGCTGAGGTCTAAATCTGATTGAACAGACAGAGGGGAACCTCAGTTGTACTATTCTGTGGTCTGAATCTTGATTGAACTGATGTTATGATAAGATTTTCATTGACATAATCATTATTTCATTCTTTCAGTATCAATTCCACTACTTCAGAAAGACACGGGAGAGGTCTAAATTCTGATTGAACAGACAGAGAAGCCGTAGTAATACTATGCTGGGATCAAAATCCTGATCGAACCGACAGAGGAGCCGTAGTGGTACTATGCTGAGGTTTAAATCTGATTAAACAGAAAGAGGAGACGTAGTGGTACTATGCTGAGGTCTAAATTCTGATCGAACCGACAGAGGAGCCGTAGTGGTACTATGCTGAGGTCTAAATCTGATTAAACAGACAGAGGAGACGTAGTGGTACTATAAATCCTGATTGAACAGACAGAGGAGCCGTAGTTGTACTATGCTGAGGTCTAAATCCTGATTGAACTGATGTTATGATAAGATTTTCATTGACATAATCATTATTCTATTCTTTCAGTATCAATTCCACTACTTCAGAAAGACACGGTAGAGGTCTAAATTCTGATTGAACAGATAGAAGAGCCGTAGTAGTACTATGCTGGGATCAAAATCCTGATCGAACCGACAGAGGAGCCGTAGTGGTACTATGCAAGTCTAAATCCTAATTGAACAGACAAAAGAGCCGTAGTAATACTTTGCTCAGGTACAAATCCTGATTGAACAGAAAGAGAAGCCATAGTGGTACTATGCTGAGGTGTAAATTCTGATCGAACCAACAGAGGAGCCGTAGTGGTGCTATGCTGAAGTCTAAATCCTGATTGAACAGACAGAGGAGCCGTGGTTGTTCTTTGCTCAGGTCCAAATCCTGATTGAACAAACAGAGAAGCCATAGTGGTACTATGCTGAGGTCTAAAT